TGCATCGATTTGCACTAGATTGTACAGGTGTACCTAATAAAGTGGGTCAAATGTGCCAATATCTGAGATTTTATGGGCTTCATCACAGAGCACTGACTTTGTTGATCTGTGATATGGTAAAACGGGGCGGCTGCGGATCAGGGGGCAGAGCAGTCGTCCACTTATCAGAAGGTCGGTGGTTCGGTCCTCTGCTCCACCATGTCGACGTATCCTTGGAAAGATAATAATCATAAATGTCTATGAATTTGAGAATGGATTGAATGTGTAAGAGCTTTGAGTGGTCAGAAAGACTAGAAAGACGCTATCCAAGTGTGGACCATTTGCCATATAACATATAGGGGTAGCACGCTTTCAGACAAGTCAGTAAACCATCGCCGTAATATCAACAATGCAACTACACCTTTGCAGCCACAATCTAACCATAACAATCTAGCCACCATACCTCACTGGTGATACCAGGCCAAGTACACTCGGAGCAAGCAAGTCTTTTTGTTACAACAGTGGTCATAATTTGTGAAATGTGGGATGTGTTTGTTGCCACCTGTCCTGTTAGATATGTAACTAGGTCTGTGCCATAACATCTTTGTGATTGGTGGCTTACATTTCTGCTCTGTGTTGATTGGGGGCTGCGGTTCCAGATGGTGGCAAAGCATTGGCTGCTTCTGATGGCTTGCTATTTAAGCAGAGGAGGGGGGCATCTTGGCATCTTTCTTATCACCCAACCGGCCACAATTAAACCTTGTCTGAGTTGTTATTATACTTTGGGTTATTTTGAGTAGTAGGGGTGGACAGACCTTCTTTTTCTCTTGTTTTTATTAGTTAGGGAGGACAGTTGCTTGTTGTTGGTTTTCTTTTGTGTGTTTGATAGGTTAGTGCTGATTTCCAGTTATAAGTGTTTTGATTGTTATTTTGGCCCTGGCCCACCCGAAAGTGCAATTTTGTTCATTACTATTTTTTTATTCCACTGTAAATAAATTCATCTTTCATTTATGGACAGTTTGTTTTCATTTGGCTCCTTGGGACTTTGGGAAGATGTTTCATTGTATGTTATGAGTCATGTATATGTCTAGGCCCCTGGACTAGGCGTAACATGAACGGGTGTTTATTGGTCATGGGAACCCAATTATTTGTTCCAACTGGAAACTCTGTGGTTGTATCACTTCAATCTGCTGTATATTTAATATTGTGTGATAAATAAAATAAAAAAAGATTGTTACAGCCTCCAGATTCCTTATAAAAACTCAACACCGTTTTGCACATAGTCTTCATCAAGTAAACTTTTCAAATTGCTGCTAAGCACTTTCTGACGACCTATGGCATAAGTGAAATATGACCACAGTTAAACATGCACCCATAAAAAAATCACAACAGCAGCCCTGTACAACAGGGATTAGGCTCTAAATAATGTATTCAGAGCCTAAAAAGGTACAATGAAAAAAGCAGGCTGAGAAGAAGTGAAAATGTGTAAAAGTTTTCCATTAAACCCAGCTTTCCGTCTCCAATATCGGAGCGGAGTACTCCATAATTTACATAATGCTGCATATTACACCAGAACAAACTAGAACAGGATCCATATATGTTTTATAAGCAGTTATCTTTGTTTTTTTTTTTTAAAGCACTGTTTCTGGGAGATGGGATGCTGTAGATACCGTGCACCTCTCCAGGGTGTTAGATAACTAACTAGAGGCGGCTGCAACTGCTGGGCTGTTCCCCCTGTACTTATTTCAGAGCAGGACAGCCCTGATTGGGCTGGCAGAGTGGGTGACAAGCCAGGGGACTGAAGAGAAGAGAAGAGAAGAGAGTGTTTGTGTACTTTAATGTGTGCTTTTGTGTGTGTGCTTTTGTGTGTGTGTGTGTGTGTGTGTGTGTGTGTGTGTGTGTGTGTGCGTGTGTGCGTGTGTGTGTGTGTGTGTGTGTGCGTGTGTGCGTGTGTGTGCGGGTGTGAGGGGACACCTCAGAGGTCATTTGAAGAGGCAGTGGAGCGTGCTGAGAGGCTGCCATCACACAGCTGCCACGCCAACTGCACACACACACAAAATCGCACGCACATTTGCCAACGCACAAGCACGTCGCATTTCTGTAGAGGCATGAGCACGCAACAGCACTCACACAAAAGCAGAAAGGTACACATAGCAAAGAGCAAACACAGGCAGGCACACAGTCACTTGTCACATGCAAGTCACTTACTCAAACAGACACACACACACACACACGTGACTCACCGCTCATTCACACTTGCAAGCTTTCCACTCGCAACCACTTCACACTTGCACACGGAGGTGCATGCATGAACGCACACACCATGTCCTTGGTTGTTGTCTGTCTATCTTAAATCATGGAGTGAAGGAGTAGAAGGCTACATTCGTTCAGATCATCACACCAATGGATAAATGACACTTAAATCTTGTTCAATGTTTGTTTTTTGTTTTACATTTTGTTTGTTTTTTGACAAGCATTTTATAGTTTTTTAGGGCTTTATTGATTTGAGAATGACAGTTCGGGAAAAAAAAGTTTCATGTCTTTATCTGCCTTTTAAATCTAAACTTATTTTTGAAAATGGTGGCATTAAAATAAAAGTGATTATTTTTTATTATTTCCTCACATTCCCAATTATACAGTAACAGACAAATACCTCCAGCGATAGTCATAAGACAAACAGCCACTAACATTAAGTTATTCATTAGAGAAACATTAATGTACTTCCTATCCATGTGAAAGCAAAATCTACTTGATTGTATGTTTTTTTTTTATCTTTGGCTAAGCCTTTTTTTTTTAATCAAAAGCTGTCCCACTTTAACCAGCAGCGAACCGCCGATGGACCAGTCATTATAAACTCAGACTATGCATATAAAAATTGTTCAAACCCACAGAACTTTATTTTCAATTTTCCAAAGACACCGGCTCAATTTTAGGGAAATGTGTACAAAATAATGCGCCATCTTTCAGTACATTGTGAAATTAGAGATGAGACTGTGGTCTCTGCTAACAAGCCCTGTGCTGCCGCCCCCTCCTTCCCTTTGTGCCGACGGCCAAATCAGCACTGTTGCATCTTTCAAAATAGCACAGCAGGAGGAGACCGGCCAAAAACGGGAGCGTGCAGGAACTCTATAATTTGTTATGGGGCTGACGGGGAGTGATATCAATGATTCAACTATCTTATCTGGGCCTGTGATACCCATCTTGTAAATATATTCTCTCTCTCTCCCTGTCTCTCTCTCCTTCACCCGGCACCCCCTCTCAATCTCTTTGGCACATTGCTGTTATCGTGGCGATGAATAGCGAGGCGATTATTATTCCTCTAGCAGAGTCCACACGTACACACATGCTGACCTCACTCATCACATACCTCAGAAGAACAAACAAAACACACACACACACACACACACACACACAATACACATACATGCACACACACAGCTAGAGGTTGTAAGGTGGGAAGCTGATAACCTGCACTTACAAGGTTAATGTGTGGTAGTACACATGCTCCATGTCAAGCAGGAACATTTGTGTTCCGTCGCCTCGCACTTTATCATGCGCTGAGCCTGAGGTGAAGCTTACACTTCATTAGATTCATGAACAGCCACAGGACTGCAAACAAAACGTATCATGAAAAGAGGAAATTCACAGAGATTCCCTCAGCCTTAGCATTCCTAGCAATTCAAAGGCATCAGTGTTTAGTTTTAACTCATTGCAGCTTTAAAGGGACTTTATCTTAATAAAATGCAGTACACAGTGAGCTACCCCAACTTTTCTGTGCGAGCAAGAATACTGTAATGTGCTGAATGGACCAGTGTCTACGTATCTTGAGCCATCAGGCCTCCAGATGTTTATAAAGCGATTACGGCTTTGGATGGAAAATACAACAGCTGATTCTATACTCTAATATGCAAGTGAGTGGAAGAGATGTGGAGATGCGCCGGTACACCAGTTTTACTGTATATCCTGGTAAAACATTCTGATGGTTACATCCACGCAATCATTTCTATCACCAAAACATCCAAGTTATTCATGAAGTATTTCTTTTGTTTGTTTGTTTTTTTACTTACTATTCATATAAGCAAAGGTGATTGTGTCATATATATATATATATATATATATATATATATATATATATATATATATATATACACACACACACACACACACACACACACACACACAACCCATACATACATATATACACATACAAATACAGCATCAGTATAGTAGTACATAAGTAAATATAGCTTTTACAACAAATATTATATGCTCTAGTCATAATATGAATAAATATGTTTAAACACAATATTCTAAATATTATATATAATATATAAATGACAGAGCTTTTCAGTGACTGGATATATACTATAGGACGTTTATAAACATATGCAACATATGTGCAGTACTGATGTGGATTGGGGGCAGAGCTGTGGCAAAACTCACCTCTAATACTTTCATTCAGCACGATGATTAAATGCATTTCTGTGTACTGCACTGAATTATCTTGTAATGACATGTAAACACACGCTGAAATTGTTAAGCTCCGAGAGGTTAACTTACATGGCTCTTACATGACTAATTTCTGTCAGATTTAAATGCAGGTTGTAGGAAAACATCCGACTTGTTTTAAGTCAGGCACACGTGGAAATGAACAACGTTAAAATAGTGCCTTAATACTGAGTGGCAAAGCTTACAGAGAATGTGAGTCATGCTGCTCCTTTGAAATGTTCAATCCTCAATGCGTCCAAAGCACCGCCTTTTAAATTATTCTTCTTGGCACTGACTTACTGGCAGCCATCGTATTATTGAGCACATGCGGTTTCATCAACTCAAGAATCTGTACTTCCTTAAGATTTTTAGAAAAATTATCAATACTGTGAAATGGGAGGAGAAGTAAAATACAGTATCAATATCAGGATTGCAGAAAAGGCTCAGATTTGAAATAAAAAAGTAAAACCCTATGTACTGAGAATGTATTGGGATACTGTATTTTCAGACCAGTACCAGTAAGTAAAGCTCACCTCATTGTGCGAAGGTCCCATCCTCGTATGGCCGTGTCATTCGCTGTGGCGAGCTGGCTGCAATTGTGGTGGGGGCTCCACTTGCCCGAGGTGAACTTCAGCTGACCTTTCCCCTCAAGGGTGGCAGTGCTGGAGACCTGCAGAGGACAACGACACCTTCATTACCATCTCTGAGCAGGTACGTGAATTCCATCCAAATATCTGCGACAGGTTCAGCCAGTACAGTGCATTCAATCAGCATAATAAGGCATTATTAGAAGTAATTTTCTCTGCAGGCTACACTCAAGATTACAATTGTTCAGTATGACTTTGTAGTAATATTTTGGGCATTACTGGCACACCAACTGCCTGCAGATTTACACCATGCTGAATTGAATTTTTCTGTGATGTCAGACGTTGTGTTTTCAGCTTGATATGCTTGCACAAAATCGCAATTATTAAAGCTTTAAAATGACCTGTTAAGATAGAAAGTATGCAGTGATGGGACTGAATAACAAAGTAACATCAAATTCAAATTCCATGTTTTCCAAAATGAAATTCACCAGTAGTGATATTTTCTCAGAATCTGTACCATTACATAGATATTTAATGTTCTCAAAATGAATGCATCCCTCTTCATAAGTGGAGCCACTCTCTCCTGCATGCAGCCTGCTCCAACATATGGATTAGTATGCTCTGTTCTTATTTCAATGCCCAACAGCACAACAGGACCTGAACAGAACAGCCAGAACCAGCAAGTGCGTGTACCTATCTCATCTGTATCTTGCTGCTCAGTCAGCAGATCTACTGACCCCTGGCTCTCCTCTGGCCCCATGGTGGGGATCTATACACTAGATTGCTCAGAGTTACTTATGGATCAACCCTTGGAGGACATAAGTGTTGAACGCTGGTTGAAAATCGGTCATATTTATTGTGATATTTTAGGTATTTCAACAAAAAAAAAACATTTAACTGACAAAATGTCACCGGATCCAAAAATTAAAGCAGTTTAGCTGAAAGGCAGGCAGGTTAAATTGCAACATTTAAGGCTTTTCAAACAAGACGACATGCTTGTCACTGGATATTTATCAAACCTGCTAAGAATATTTCACAGGGCAACAATGAAGGTGAAATGAATCAAAGTCAAAACACTTCAAGGACTCTGAATTATAAAGCACATGCCTTCATCAGGCTACTTTAAAAATGAAATCCAATTAATCCAGTAGGCTGGTCATCTTTCCCCTAAACTATCATGCATCCAACAATTCTAAAAAGCAGCATCACACTGCTCCATTTTCTCTGCTCTCTGACTATCTGCAGGTTTTTATCCTCATCTTTCTCCTTCTCCCATTTCTCTCGCTCTCTTTCTCTCCCTCTCCCATCTCTGCCTGGTAGAGCGAGGATCATCGATCGCCCCGTCACTGCACAGCTCCCCGGTACACTCTCATTATTTCAGCTAGAGAGGACAGAGGCAGAGCGAGCGAGAGAGAGAGAGAGAGACAGGCCAACAGAGCAGCAAGGTGGGAGGGAGGGAGGAAGACTAAGAAAGAAAAGCAGATAGGACAAAAGGAAGGAAGACAGAGGGTAGAAAAGGAAAAAGAAAGGAAAGGAGTCGAGAAGAAGGGGCACAGATAAAAATCAGGCAACGAGAGAAGTCGGGTTCCTCTGTGGCCTTGATGTGAAATTCTGTGACTTTTCCATGAATTTTCTGAGCATTCCAATCACGAGCAGAACAGACATGTTGCAAATGATTTGATTAAAGGCACACTGAAATGGCAGATCATCTTGCCTACATACTGTTTTTTAACCATGTATTCATGCGCACGTGATGGCTGTCCGTGCCTCATTGATGCTTGTATGTTGTTCCTCAAATGTAAGTTGCTTTGGATATTGGATATGGAGTGTCTCCCAAATGAGTAGATGTAAATGTAAATCTTGCAATCCTTCGTTGGTTGTCTGCATCCTCACAAATTACAGCTAAAGGTGTTAGTATGACCCAACCAACATGCTTGTTGGATGGTCTTACACCACTACCCCCATAACTTTCCGACGTCAGAATTTGGGGGAAGGGGAGGACTGCGGCCAACAATTTCTGTAACTATCCAATCAATCAATCTGACAAGCGAGACAACTTGGCCTGTTGTGTGGAGGTGAGACAATGACCAGGGTTTTAAATTTAAAATTTTTATTCGTTACATAACAAATTCTACAACCTTTTGTGTGTCTCTATAATGTCAGCCCAAATTCAAGTGTGGCAGTTCAGAACAGCTATTTACACTGGTTAGACGACATCTTCCTTTTAAGCTTCTACATAAAGCATCTCAGGATGTAATAAAGCAGATGAATGGTGTGGTCAGTATAGAAAGACGAAGTCCCTCCCCTTCCGGTGGACCACCATGGGACCTTACTTCAGAAAAAATATGTACGGTAGTCAAGGGCAAGAGACAACAAATTTTTTGATCCCATTTGAATTGTGCTCTGAATTACACATATTAACATATTCAGTAAGATATCGCCATATAATAGCTTTTTGACAGTAGCTAGGAGCAGATCTTTTGTTTTGTGTCACACTTAAATTGGTCCCCGCTATACCAAGGGATCTAGAATCGTGTAACACATGGATTAGCGGCATTCATTGGTTGTTGTTTGTGTTTCAGGTTACTTGTGTTTAATTGGTGGAGATATGTAAGGGGGTGGGCGTTAGGGGAATGGAGTCGGGAACAATCAAGTCGTGCTGGGAGTACCTGGAGTGTTTTTAGCATTTAGCTAGCTACCACGTAATGTGCATACCTGTCAACCCTCCCGTTTCCCCCGGGCTGCTTTACCGCGCTCTGTAATAGCACACAAAATAAAGCAAGAAGAAGAAGAAAAGCAGTGCAACGGGTTCAGGATGGATGATGAGCTGCTAAACAGAATATTTCACATGCATTTGCCCCTAAAATAGATACGTGCAAACCAGAAAAAAAATTTAAAATGAGTAAAAACTACAACCTACAGTTATTTTTGTGCATGAATGGTTATGATTTTTTTTTGTTAGAACTTAGCATTAATAAATTACAGACCAAGGTAGACCGTTTTTCTTGCACAAGGATTTAATAAATGAAAACAACAAACAAGTAATAAAAGGCCTAAAAAAAGGCTTTTTAAGTTTATAAAAACTATTTACTGTCAGATTCATGTAAAATACATTTAACAGCAATAAAATAATTTTGCTTCAGTCTGGCATCTCTTTTAAGTTTGTATTCAACAGACTACCTTTTTATATCAATTTAAAGCGCTGAAACAAATGTATTTGGACATAAAAGGGCAAATTATTATTTTGGCCGGTGGGTTTTTTCATGTACTACTCCCACTGGCAGGCGAGCCAATAAGTTAATTTCCTCCCCTGTATACGACCATGATTGCAGGATGAGGCATAAAATGATGAGATTTTAATAGGAAGAGAAAACAGAAGGATTGTGATATATTGATACTGAAAAGTGTTTTGTTAACATATACATGACAAGAACTTGGGAAATTTATTGTTTTGATTAAATTTTTCTGAGTGGCACAGTTCGATTACTGTAACTGAACTTCTGCACAAAAGACACCATCTATTGCAAAGAATATTGAAACAAGGATGAAATAATCTGTGCCACATACTTTGCCAAATTTGCTCATCGTCCCTAAATTCTTCAAAAAACTGATCAAGTTCCCTGACTTCCCCCTGACAGACCAGACGCTCCGTGATCAGTGGGAAGCTTCGTGCATCCCAGGTTCCCAGCTTTATTAGTGCACTAACTAAATCAGGGGCCCTAACAAGGCAGTACATGCAACACTAGGGGACGCATTCATTTAGGACACAAGCAGCACTAATGCAAAGCTATCTGTCAAATCGCCTTGTATTTATGCTTTCTCCAGACTCCAGAAAAGAGTGTGTGTGTGTGTGTGTGTGTGTGTGTGTGAGAGCAGATGTGCAAGACAAGGTGTGTGGGTGTGCTGTGAGCCGGCAGAGATGTTCTCACTCAATTCCACCAGCGATTCTAATTGATGAGCCATGCACATGACACACACACACACACAAATATTCCTTCAAACAATACACACTCGAAAGCTTATGCACATGATCCTCTCTTACATATGCATACAAACATTCTCGCAAACACTCACGCAAACACCCACACCGAACACACACACACACACACACACACACTAATCTAGGCCAGGCCCTTGAGAGAGAGACACATCCACACTGCAGCTGGACACGGCTTGAGATGAACACATCACCCTCTGACAGATAGAGGGAACAGGAGATAGGAGAGTGGGATGAAAGGAGGGAAGAGGGAGGGAGGGAAGGAGATTAGCATTCTCATCAGCACTGGAGGAATTTGTCTTGGCTGCCAAGCTCTTTCTCCTCTTTTTCATTCCCTTTCTTCTCATCAAGCCCACTCTCTTTTCTTTATCCATATCGCCCTCCTTCTCCCTACTAATCTCCATCTTTCCAATCAGTGGGGTCTTCCATTGCTCCCTCGTCCTCATCCTCCCTCTATCTTCCCTTTCTCATTACACTTCTTTCCCACCATTACCTTCCACCTCTCTCCTCCTCCCTTGATACAGGATTTAATAGCTGTGTTGTCCGGTGTCGGTGTCAGAGGATAGAATCAACAACCCCCCGCCTTTATGGTCCTACTAAACCTCATACTGAGGTCCTGGCGCAGGGGACATACACACACACTGACGCATAAACAGAGTCGTTAAATTGATTATTAGCAGAACAAATAAATGTATAAAAATTAGGGACACTGAGAAAGTGCAGACACAAAGGGGTAGGGATATAGAAAATAATTAAAAGGGAAAATGTCATGTGGATTTTCAATCCGTGTTGATGGTAAATGTAGTTGGTTGAAGCAAAAAAATTCCTCAGTACATGCAATATTGATAGAGAAAACTGAATTTGCCATATAGTTTTTTCTGCACCCAGCTCCGTCATTTGACGTGACAGTGATGTAGTTGGAGGCACGGAAAAAACTACTGGCTACTTCAGTTTGGATTTCTAGTCTCTGTCCCTGGGTAGCCAGGGGGCATGAGCGATGCCGCTCAAAAACAAAACTTGTTTTCTTTGTTTGCATTGCAAACTAGCTATGTTTCCAACTGTGAAAATAGCATCCCAAAACATGAA